GGGGGGGGGGGGGGGGGGGGGGGGGTGGAGGGAGAGAGAAAGACGAGAGGTTGGCTCCGATGGAAATGAGCGGTACGGATAAACTTTGAAGCGACTGGCCCCCTGGGTAATGCATAATTCAGGAATCGTCACCGTCGAGGATATTGCCAATTTGGCGTCGATGAAAATACGATCGGATTCGTCGCGGGCCGCAACCTAGAATAGTTTTGCCCCCGAACCAACGCCCACAAATCCAGAATTTAACATCATCCCCTCTTCGCCGATGTATATAGGTGGAATTTTTAAGGGTTGAGGGATGAGACTCGCACTGAGAAAAAAATTGTTCTTGACAAATTTTTGGTTACAGTGATGCCGCGAGACGAGATACTGCATCTTCTCGTCTTGTCTCGTTGTCAGGAAACCATTGTCTCGTCTCGTCTCGTATGGAGATACGAGAGCAATTTGTTTTTTCGTCTCGTCGAGAATTGGGAGATTCTCTCGTCTCGTCTCGTCGTGTCTTGTCTCGTCTCATCTCGTCTTGTCTCGTCTTGTCTCGTCTCGTCTCGTCGCGTCTTGTCTCATCTCGTCTTGTCTCGTCTTGTCTCGTCTCGTCGCGTCTTGTCTCATCTCGTCTTGTCTCGTCGCGTCTTGTCTCATCTCGTCTTGTCTTCTCTCGTCTCGTCTCTATAATCCAATTTACATGGAAAAAAAATACAAAGAGAGGCAGAGAAGGGGAGGCTCTCTTGAGTCTCGTCTCGCCTCGTTTCTGTCATCGTCTCGAATGACTCTTCTCGTCTCGGCTCGTTTCTATCATTGTCTCGAATGACTCGTCTCGTCTCGTTTCTGTCATTGTCTCAAATGACTCTTCTCGTCTCGTCTCGTTTGTCTCGTGAAAAAATAAATGCTTCTCCCAAGTAAATGAATATTTAGCAAAAATAATTTTTTTTCTCAGTGTGAACAAGTCCTCTGGATTTTTTGGCTCGTTTGAAACAATCAATCTTGCGCTGATGAGCGGGATCATCGCCTCTTGTGTGGTTTTCACAAAAAATAATGACTCAAGGGGTGATTCTCCATGAAAGCCTCTGAAATGGGATATAATATGAAATATTTATAACGAGACTGGGAGGGTGTATAAAGCCGCGGGATGAATAGAATACATTGGAATCAATTCAATTTGTCAACACGTACGTAATTATGTTATTATGCTGGACGTGGGTGGACCCTCGGATTTTTGGGGGGAGAGGCTACAGGGGGGTTGAGAGCCATCAATAATCCATAAGACGATTCTTTCGACAATGGGCATCAGAGCACACGCGTCTGTGACGAAACCGCGAGCGCACCAAATTCTCGGAGATTATTATTTACATCGGTTCCATAAAACTGGATGAATTCGTTTCGTGTTCTCTCCCTTCGTACGACTCAATTGTGGTGGAGGCGTCAGTGCCGGAGTCAAATGGAAGGACTTAAAGGATTGTGTCGTCACAGATTTTACGGGGGGTGTCGGCACACTCCGATAGAGCTGAAGCGGGGTCAGTAAATCCAGGTGGATGTTGGATTTTTCGTGAGAATTTTGCAGCGATTGAAAAAGAGATTATCAGAATAGGGAACTTGCGTAGAGTCCGCTTTTCGAATATTTTTAAATGAATAGTCTTTGTAGTCTATGAACCATTCCAGTAAAGCTAAAAAGCTTTCCGAAAGGTGGTCTGGATATTTTGTAATAACTGATTAAAAATGCATCAATTTTGAACACTTTTTTTGGGGTCGTGACGTCAACTCACCGGAATCAAGTTCCCCTTGCGACTACTAGCAGCGCTATTGAGTTATTCTAGCCTCTCAAAGTGCGAGACGTTCAACCAAAACAAATCGAGGGGGTTATGTTTGAAACAATTATTAAAAGTGGATAAAAAAAATATATTGGCACTAACAAATGAAGTTTGTGCTGAAAAATGATTTTCAAAAGGCGTGCTCGGGGAATTTACCAACGGTAGACGTGACTATGTTGATAGATTTTATGGGTTTAAATCTGTGTCAAAGTGTCGAAAATCGTGGTTGTATAATTTTCACTGTTTTATTTTTACATCCTGGTGCAAAACAATATTTATAAGGAGCTTTCATCACTCGATCCGGTTTTTCTGACACTTTCGAGCCAAATACATGTACAGAGTATTTTCCTAGATTTCAGCAGCTGTTCTGAACCGCTTGACGGCGCCACACGACAATTTCGGCCTCCGGTGAGTTGACGTCACAGGCCGTTTTAGAGCGTTTAAAAAATGCAATTTTTAAAAGCAAATAAATAATTATTCGACTATTTTCCGTGGGTTTCATTATCAAATATGAGTTCTTGGGGGCATATATTTGAGGAAAAAAAAATATGCAAGTTCCCTATTGAGTGATTATTAAAATGAATGTCGTAAAATGAGAAAATTTGTCTCGTATTGAATTAATTTTAAGGCTTTGTTGGGAGACGAATGCTCGGTTGAAAAATTCTCTCCGAAAATTTTATTCTTCTGCTCAATGAGAGACGACTTGGCCAGCTATACAAGGAGGGGGCGTCTTGCTTCAGCAGGAGGAGGAAAACGTTATTTATGACGCCGGATACGCGGAATACGGTGGAACTTGTGGTGAATTCCGGTGAACTCACTGATTTTTGCCAGCCTCAGTCTCCTCTTCCTCGTGTCTCATTAATAATCATTGAAGAATAATATTACAGCATCAGAATTTGTGAGATATCACAATTTTTTCGCGGTGCACTTGATAATATTGATTAATGGTTGGTTTTACTTCTAGTCTCTCCGGGGTCCATCTTATTCTGTAACTAGATAAATTTGAGGGGCGGAGGGGGGGGGGAGCACTGTCGGAGACTCAACGGGACAAATTCGATTTCAGACTTCCGGAGTGGAGGCCGAAGCCTTGGGGACAGAGTAAGAGCGGACAAACGGATCGTTCTTCTGGAATCGACTCTGGAGTCGCTCCAGTTATACTGTCCATTTTTCTCCACTGGAGATAAAAGCACGGGATAAAAATATAAAATATACTTGATTCCAGTATATTTTATACTCAATTGGGGGATGGCAGCTCAATTCGAAGGTGATTCGTTTGCATCGGGCCGGGTTGTAGCAAGCCCTCGTAAATTATTATTTACTAAAGACGAAAGAAACGGTAAGTTGTTTTATATCGAAATATCTCGAAACTGCCCGCCCGCTAACCCTCAATTCTGATTGGTCAATGAGTCACGTGAAGTAGTCGCTGAAAAAAATCCCCGGTATTTTCAAATTCTTCAAATGCCAAAAATTTTTTCTGCGTCATATTTATCATTTTTTCATGTGCGAAGTTTATCTTTATATCAAAACATATCTAAATTGCCTAATTGTTGATCATGAGAAAAAAACAGTATTTTTAAATTTTTTCAACTCACAAATTATTCTTCACTTCCCAAATTTTAATTTTTTCATATTTATCATACGCAAAAATGATCAATTCTTGCTTCTCAGATTTTCATACATAAATTCTAAACTCTACAAAATTCATGAAAATTCTTCGGTTTCCCAAATAATTCGAGAAAAATCATTGAAGATCTACGATTATCTGGAAAATGTGAAATTTTCCGAAGAATTCAAGAAATTTTTTCAGTTTTCTAGGAAATCAATTCATAACCCTCCCCTCATTTTTCAACAATTACAGATTTTAATCAGATTATTTGAAAAAGTAAAAAAAAGAATTAATCGAAGATTAAAAATTATTTATTGGTGTTTCACTCTTCATTCTCTTAATTCTCTTCAAGTCATTCTCAATATTTATAAAACATCTGATTATATGAAGTTTAATAAATTCGATGTCTTCAATTTCCCAACGAACAGATAAGCGCTCGCTTAATTTTAATTTTTTGACCCTCATATTCTCCCACTTAGTGCCTCACCCTTACATCACTCCAGATCGAAATAATCCCGAGTAAAATAAAAAAACGTATTTCAATAATTAGTCAAATATCCCCTCTCCCCTCATCAATTTTGTTCATCAGTCACGGAGCGCAAGGGGGGACACGTCTCAAGTACAACCAATCCTGCATTTGTCCGCACAATGCGCCACAATTATTAACACGCTTTTCCACGATACTTACGTGACTACGGTATAGTTACTTTTTCACTAACCGGGGGCTGACCTCTCCCTCTGTATATTTTAGCCAACCCCAGTTGCGCCAGCCTCGCCCCTTCGATCACTTGAAAACAATTGCCAAGTGGTTGTAAATGTATTAAATTCATCCACTGCTCATTGTCGGGTGACCCCTTGACTCGTACAACGTATAACCGCTCAATTTCAGTTAACGTCCGTGAGAGCGCTCGGGGGAGATGTATGCCACAATCTCAAGGACACTCGTGCCACCCGAAACGTTCACTTTGCAGTTGCTCTCCACAATGTAATGAAAAAGAAAGAGTCAAAACGAGTCCGAGGCACTTGA